AGATCTTTCGAGGACACAAGTTCATCATCAACTGCATCCAGGTCAGGAAGGGGTTTCTTTGCTGGGATTTTGCATTTCCGATTGCTCCCTTGTTGTTTTGTGGGAACTGGCGTGGCTGGCTGTTCTGTGTGTCATGGATTGGATGTTGTTCTAGGATAAGATGAAATGTAGCAGACTTGAATATTCCTCATGCAATTTTAGGTAAACTTGTTACTAGTAAGGATAAGCGAAACCACACACTGAGCCACCAGAGACAGCCCTATGTCTGTGATTGAGGTTTTTCAGGTCAGGTTAGACAAGCAAATGTAAGAAATCAGACAGACATAACTGATCCTGTGTAGGGCAGGGAATGGACTCTGGCCTTACAAGACCCCTCCTGTTAAAGATGCTGATGTTTGCAGTGCTTTAGGGGGAAAAGAAGGTTTCTGCCTTCTCCAAGCAGAATAATAAATAGCATTAGCCTTCTAACACCCTGGGCACGGTATCTGTCAGCCACTGAGAAGTGGCGATGTGAATGTGATCTTTAGTACGTTAGTGAGGGGAGGCTGGGGCTGTGCTGCTTCCTGCTGCTGGAAGCCAGCCGGCTGGTGGGATATTGGCTCTTGCTGCCCACTGCTGGAAACTGCAGGCACCCACAGTGGACAGGAGAGCACAGGAAGGGGAAGATGATGGAGACCAACACTGCTTTTGGGGCACAGTGAGGACAATTGGAAATGTTACCAACAGCATCAAGTATTTCATTAAGGAAATTAAACTACAGGAGGGAATCAAGTCAAATTACTGCAGGTTTGGAAGAAAGAACAACAAATGCTGAAGGAGGAATTGTGCCTATGGTTTACTGCAAAGGAAGAAGGGAAGGGGGAAGAAAAGCTTTCCTGACCCTCCCCTCCCCCCCACTGCTCACTGCTGCCGATTTTAGTGCCTCCTTAAGCTTTGTTTTCAAAATCAGCAGTCTGAAACCAGCACAGAAATTCCCCGCTACAGCCTACTCTGACACTGAGTTGAGTTCCTCATTGCTTTTCTAGTGGGTTTAGGTTATAAATAACTCTTGCTGTTTATATTTTATGGCTCTGTGAAGTGGCTGAGAAATGAGTCCTGGCTTGGTAATGGCTCATCCCACTTCAGCAGCTTTCGTGATAATTTATACCGGCTCTTGCAATGAGCCATCAGGCCGCAAGTGTTGGGATCAAGCTGTGTTTGCTCTGAGTTTGGCAGTTTGATTGTGCTGATTCCGAGCTGTACGGTTTGGTATTAAGTGTGACCCTGTTGTTCCAGATCCACGATGAGTTGCTCTACACAGCTTCCCATGATGGCACGCTAAGGATCTGGGACATCCGGGGAATATGCAAGAGAAACAAGAGACGCTTGAAGAAGGAGAGGTCTGCCCAGGGCCGGGGCTCTCAGAAGGGAAGTCTGTCTCGCCTCTTCAATAACAAAGTCGGCTGCATGGTACAGCAAGAAAATGGGGAACATGAGGCTGTTGAACTGATGTGACCCCACAGCAGACTTCCCAGCAGTGACCAAAGCTGAACCTTTTATGCACCACTGTGTCCATGTAAACCAGAACCTGGAAAGAGATGGGAAAGCGCTTTTGTGAAACCTCTTTTCCAGGAGCCAGGATTCTCTGTCAGATGGGCTCAAGTCTGATCCTGTTGCTGCTGACTGACTGGGGGCAGGAGGGACTGCAGTGTGGTTCAGGTTAGGTACCTTGTGTCTGTTTCTGTGTAATTAAGAACTGTACTCACAACTGCTTTTCAGTTCCTGCTGGCAGAGAGATGCTGCACACTTCTGCCTGTCCAGTATCTAATAAGAAATGTCTCCTGTTCCTGTTGCCCTCTCACATGCCCTCTGTTCAGCTGACTGGAGAAATGAAAGGCGTGCTGCAGTACAACTACAAATCCAATTTCCACAACTGACCTTCAGGTCAGTTTTTTGCTGTTATGACCATTTGATGCAGAATGGAACAGCTCAGCAGGAGTTTAAAGCAGACACCACCTCTCTGCCAAGTTGTGAGGAGTAGGACAGACATTAAAATCTTTTTAACAAAAGAGAAGCTAGAGAACAAGCTCAATCTCAGACTTTTGTGTCAAGGTCAGCTCTTTGCCAAGACACAGCAGTTGTGCCCCTCCCTAAAACCTGGCAGTTTCTTTTTTTTATCTTTGGTGATCTCTCACTTCAGCTGTTCACCAGGGCACCAGGTCTGTGTGGCCACTGCTTGGTTGGCCTCACAGGGGAAAGGATTTTCTTATATCCACTGGGAACTGTGTTCTTCAAAGGAGAGGAGAGTAAATTATGAGGATTTACTGATGACTCTAGATTTTGTTACCTTTCCCTTCTTACGAGGCCAGGTCTAGCCCTGGTTTGCTAGGTCAGTAGTGTCAAATAAGTAGTCAAGCTCAAGAGAAGCTCTCCCAGTCTCTTTCCAGGTTCATCCTTCTCTGATAACCACTGAGCCATGAATAAACAAGGGTTCTTTTATTTTTCTATTTGCAGATATAACTCTTTGTAGAACCAGTACAGAAGTATCTAACCACATGTTTTTATTTTTATGGCTTTATTTATTCTGCACTACAGCAAGATAAAGATGCTGTGATTGTTTTCTAGAATGGACTAATAAACATGTGGCATCTACACACAACTCATTGTCTAAGTTTTATTTTCATTTAGAGGGGATTTGTCTGGCTTCAGCTCAGAATGGATGGAATATGGCAAAACATACACTTTTGGAAACATTTCTTACCTTTTCCTTGGTGGTGGGCCTGTCATTGCTTGCTTGCCTCTCCTGCCAAGCAGCTTTGTTCACTCTTTACTGGCAGGTTTCCATGTTTGGTAGGAAACAGTATTTTAATGATGTTAAGTGCATACTTAAGGTCAGTAATTTGGGAAGTCATCTGCATAGTGAAGCCTTAATTCCACTGTAAACCTCTTGGTCTGGTTGCTGTAGCTCGGTACTGGTGCTGTCGAGACATCTGTGCAGTGGTGGCTCTCAGTTGTTGGGGTGATTGGCTTGTCATACAGCTCATTTTGTCTGTATGTTGCTCATGAGGTCAATGCCTTCAGCAGAGATGGACAGAATTGCACAGATCATCTTTTTGTTTAGACCTTTGCATGCAGGATATTAGACATAATATCTGGCCCTACAGCAGCTGCACATGGAATTAGAAGATGGATTTCAGACATAGATCTCAAAGAATGGAATTAATGAGTCATTACCACTTCTGCCTGTTGTGATATGTTTAGCAATGCCTTCAACTACATGGTCAAAATTAACTTTAAAACTTTTAGCTAGTGCCACTGAGAACTGCATGCACAGCGCAGCAGCACTGGCAAATTCCATGAGGGAGGAATGGCTTCTGTGACAAGCACTGCGTGTTACAATGCTAATTTTAATTTCCCCAAGGACAAACCTTCACTTCCAAAGTTGTCACTGCCAGTCTGCTCTGCAAGCCACTTCAAAGAGGAGAAATGCTGCCTGTACAGCCCAGCGCTGCTGCCAGTGTTGTGTCTCAGGGTTAGCCAAGGTAATGCCAGTAGGCTTGGGATCCCCCCCAGCTAAAGGAAGGAATAAATTTGTGCTTCCCCACCTACATAGTGTTAGCATTCACTACATCAGTCACACTGTATGTCTTCAATTTTAAATTCTTCTGTATATGCAACATTTTGTCTGGTTGTTCCTCAGCACTTACCTGTAGAGAAGAGGGATATAATGGCTGCAAGGGCTGCTTGTTTCTCTGAAGCTTGTATTACTACCTTTAGGAATGCTTCAACCTTCTGGGAGGAGATACAAAGCTACTCAACTGTTACAGCACTCATCTTGATAGAGAAGTACAAAATACAAGTAATTCCTTAATCACAGTGTAATCACTCCCTGCCTGTTGCTGTCCTTGGCTAAGATAGCCAGAAACAACAAAATCAACTACTGAAGTCCATCCACTGGATGTGGGCAGTCACTCCACAGCCGCCAGCTCTGCTTCCTCCAGCATCACATCTGCCCTGTCACCAGCCCAAGCCCTCACTTCCCATTGATAAATGGGGGTAAGAGTCAAGTGTCACTAGATAAAGAAAGTTCCTGTCCCAGGAGCTGCTTTTAGGACCTGCTCTAAGCAGGATCAGCTTCGGTTCCCAGCAGCTGGAGCAGATGGGGCCTGAGCTCCCTCTACCGCGAGAACGAAGCTATGGAAAGTTAATAAACCGCACTTCAGCACAGCTGGCAAGCAGAGGAACTTCGGTTCCCAGCAGAGAAGAGGGCTTACATAGCAGAAAACAGGGTGTTCTAACACACAAACACAAAACCTCAACTCCTTCTCCAGCGTGCTGAAGCTGGATACAACTACTGAGACAGCGCCTGATCCAAGCTTTGTTCAACAGCTTGTTAGTTAGGAACAGCTGGTTTAGTTAGATAAGGAAGTGTCACTGCACAGGGCTCAGGGTAGAGGGGCAATGACCTGCTTGGCAGCTCCTATTGGTTTTTAAAACCAAAGCATAGAAGACCCTTACTAAAAGCCAGCAGCAGAGTTACCTTTATTGCCTGTGTAACACCTGCAGGAAGTGACAAGCAGACACAGTATAAATCCATGCACAACAGATATGTATATGTCTCTTGGAAATCTTTCAGAAGGAGAACAGTTGGAAAGTTGACACCTCTATAATCTCATGAGCTGGGTTTCTGGTTTACAAACTCACTTCTGTTTTTTTAAAGCTGGTATTGTAAAGTGGTATAGAAATGCTTCTTTACTTGAATACTAAATGAATTATTTCACGGTAAAAATATACTTTAGTTCTATTAAATTTTCTTCTGAAAATAAATGTTTCTATTTTTCTGCTATGACAATAAATTACAACGTATCACAAATGTAGGCTTTAAGTGGATTTATAAATTAAGCAAGAATTAAGCATTCCTCCTATAGCTGAACTGAATTCAAGGCATTTAGTAAGAGATAAGCTGAAGGTGCATTTATAATCCCAACTCAATTTGTCAAGGTAAATACATATAACTGAAGTAGATATAAAGGGATTTATTGCTGTGGTACTTGTATATAGGATAAGTATTCATGGATGATCTGTTTCTCTTCCTCCAGTGTTAAATCCAGATAATCCTCTTCATGTTCAGGAATATCCTCTAGGATTTCATTGACTGCATCATTCTCCATATCTTCATCTGTTGGTGAACCAGAAGAACCTTCCAATAAGAAGCAGCAGCAGTGAATTCACCTCTGAAAGAAACTGGTACTTCCCTCTTCCCACAGCATGACTGCTCTGAGTCCTATGGTAAAACTACCTCTTATTTAAAAGTGCTCTGCAAAGGATATTGCAGGACAGCCAGTTTTTTTCCCTGTTGCTTAAAGCTGTAGGAGAGCCTTTAGCTGTACAACAGGGATCACCACAGCTATGACAAATAACAAGAAAATACATGCGAGTTTCTTCTTTGGCAAGTATCAAATGGCAAGTATCAGTTATGATTCTATCACATCAGGGACATGACGAGGGAGTAAAATCAGCTGACTGCATAGTACAAGCCTGCAGTAAGCTTCCTAGCAGTCAGAACCCAGCTATTAGCAAGCCAAAGTATCATCATTATCAGTGGCAGGTCCAGGGAACATGCTCCAGCAGCTTAGTACTTGCTCTCTGCAAACTACAGGCAGAAAGAGGCCAGTTTGTTTTTAAATGATCTGGTGTGAGCGAGTACAGTCAGATATAAGAAGCTGGAATTGTCTGTGGGCTGGAAAGGCCACATGTTCCTCACCAGGGAAGTAAAGATGCAGATACCAGAGGCCTCCAGCCTTGTGTGCCGAAGCCACAGCCCACTCAGGCGCCATTCTCCTGGGCTGCATCCCTTTTACATGCTGCCTACAGCCAACCCTTATGGTCCTGTATACAGCTGTCACTGACTGCAGGGGCTGTAGTTTATCAGGGTAATGGAGGCCTTGCCTGTAACTATGTTACAGCCAAAAGTAAGTCTGGGCCCTCTACCAGTACTAAAGCAGAAGTCTCTTAATTGTTTCATACAAGAGCCAGAACAGCCTTTTCCCTTCTCTGCCTGCTGTATGCAACATTCCTACCTGCAAATTCTGTAGATGAGTCTTTTGAAGAGGTTGATTCTTCCGATGGACTGGACCCTGCTGGAGAAAGCTGCAGTGACGCAGGAAGAAGTCCCCCATAATGAGCAAGGGTTTGGGAAGCTAAGTGGATGTTGCCTTTGAAGACCTTTAAAGCTTGCTCTGCTGACTCACGGCTGAAACCCATGTACATCAGCTGCAGGAGAGGGGGAAAGAAATTAAAATACGAAATCTGGAGAAATCAAAGCTCATTCAGCACCAATCTGACAGGAATCAGACTCTACATCTGACAGTCATTCCTCTTGCACAGAGGACAGCGCTGCATGCCAGGAATTCCAGGACACTGACTCTGGTTTACTGGAACAGTTAACAACAGGGCAGTGACCTACTAAAGAATTGGACTGTTGAACAGAATCAAGAGCCTGTTGCTTAATATCAGACCAATTCTTTTTCTGTTTTTCAAAATGAAACTTCAAAGCACCCCAGCATATCAGGAGGGCGTATGTGCTATTTACATTTTCTAGACAATAGAGTTTTCTTGCCTATCTGACATAAATTGCATAGCCACACTAACTACAGTAGAGCGTTTCAGACAACCTGTGATGAGAAAGACATATTCCGACTCCTTCGTTTTGTGCACTGCAATGTTTAAAGACTTCTTTTTTGGGGCTGGAGCATTAGACTATGCTTAATTCCCTCTGGATCTCTGTGTGGCACGTTCGTTCAATGGGCTGGAAGCACACCCAGATGACATTTTAGCCCAAATGTGACTTCCCCATGAAAAGCGGATACCAGACATGGCAGTGTGACAGCTTGAGTGACATGGGTTAAAGAATAATTGTACAGCTTTGCTGACAGAAGATCCAGTGTTTCCAAAGGTGTAATTCAAAAACAACCAAGAACGCAAGCAGTCTAACTTACTTGATCAATACTTTCCTGGGAAACCTGAAACTGGTCCATGGCCACAGGATCATCATCATCATCTTCCAACAATAACTCGGGATTGTCAAGAATAAACTACATTAAAACAGAGAGGGATTAGAATACAGCAGAGATACAGTAGTTCTCAGCAAAGATATATGTAATAGTTGATAGAAGCAAACTTCAGCCAACTTAAGTGACTCATCAGGCCAGGAAGTGGAAGTTCACTCATTACAGTTCAGAAAAGGTAGCTATGAACTACCAGGTAAAGACTACAGCAAACAGTAATGTGCTAAACAGTAAATAAAGCAAGTGAACAAGGGCTTTGGCCTTTGTGTTTCATTGTGTTTTTTTTTTTGTTTGTTTTTGTACAGAAGCACTACTCCTGAAAATCACTTACCTTAAAGGCTTGGTCCAGGTTTCCTTGTGTATTATGAAGAGCTATTTGAGCAGCTCTCTCTGAATAGCCCATACTTTTCAAGGTATTGATGTCTTCCAGTCGCTTCCTTCTTTTAGCTCTCTCCTCCCTCCTTATCTGTGCCTTTTCCTGCAGTAATACAGACATTACAGAGCTCACCATGCATAGGAATGCTTCAGCCCTTCCCTGTGCGTGTGGGGTTTCTTGGCTTTACTTCAAGTTTGCATTTCTTGAGGAAAAGGGATTTTTATTTTTTTTAAATACAGCCTATGCAGACAGACAGACTAAATAGAAGGCCATTTCCATGAGCTAGCACTGTTGCTGTACTTCTGCTCTGCAGTGTCTGTGGACCAGATCTTACGCTGTCAGTTATTATAGGCCCTGTGTGGTAAGTGATAAACCCTTTTGGCAGATGGGGCTGTAGACAAGACTTGCCAAGGACAGGACACAGAGCGAGAACCAGGCATGTAGCCAAGGAGTTCTGCTCAGCCCTTCTCTAGGGCATTTGACTTTTCCATCCATATTTCACTGAAGTCTAGAAGTACCATGTCAGTTTATCAAACCTAACTTGAGGCACTTCAGATATGGACAACACTGTCTTCACCTCACTTGAGCACAAAAAATCCTTCTCCCCTCCTGGATCAACAAGGCCAAAGCCATAATACTGCATCACTTGATGGTTATGCTCAAAGCACTTTATTGTACAGCTTCTTGTCTTTCAGACCAGCCAAGCCCAGGAATGACAACTTGATCATGGTGTTTTTATTCCCACATGGAGTGCTGCTGAGTAGCAAACACTGGTGCAAAGACTTCCTATGTGCCTTGCTGGTACCACTGGTCTTTGGCTCCCTCATGCCATCTGTTTCGGGACAGAGCTTCCCTTGTTGTATTAAGTTTTGGTTTCAAACTTGTGGCAACGGATGTCAAGCTATCAGTTTCACTAATAGTGCCAAAGCAGGATAATCAAAGTCTGTAATTTATCACCATGTTGCACTAGTCATGTAAAACATGATCTTAGGGATACCCAAACTAACACAATCCTTGATTTAATACTTTAGAATCACAGAATCATAGAATAGTTAGGGCTGGAAAGGACCTTAAGATGATCTAGTTCCAACCCCCCTGCCATGGGCAGGGACACCTCACACTAAACCGTATCACCCAAGGCCTCGTCCAACCTGGTCTTGAACACTGCCAGGGACGGAGCACTCACAACCTCCCTGGGCAACCCATTCCAGTGCCTCACCACCCTCACAGTAAAGAATTTCCTCCTTATATCTAATCTAAACTTCCCCTGTTTAAGTTTTAACCCGTTACCCCTTGTCCTATCACTACAGTCCTTAATGAAGAGTCTCTCCCCAGCATCCCTATACTGCACCATACCTCTCTCCTGTTGGTGATAAGATTGGCAGCATGCTCCACATTCCCATGGCATGCTCGCAGAGCAAGGCGAGCTTCCTGTTCGGAGAATCCCAAGAGTGACAGACAATCAACTTTATCAGGATCTACAGACAGCTCTTCATATAATGAAGATGCCTATATACAGAAAGAACAAAATGATACTACTTACACTGTTGCTAATGCACAAACAAAAGAAGTCTCCCCATTTTTCTGAGTAAGCAAATGACAAAGCCCAAACATGGGAGCTAGGGGAAGGACTCAAAAGGTTTTACCTGATGGTTTCTCACCTTCTGAATATGCTCAGCAGCCTCTTTTTCTCTGCCACTGTGATAGTGTCCTATCCCTTGAAGGAGATAAAGCCGCAGAAATAAAACCTTCTCACGACCATAGCTTCCCTAAAGAATTATTTTAAAAAGGGTAGGCATGTTGGTAGAAGCATACGTTAGAATATCAATTCATTATCACAGAACACTTTACACATTTAAAGACACAGTTACTAATATGGGACACTGTCTGCAGATAAAGTATCACATCTAAAGCACTGATGGTGTCTGTGTGTGTTTACATGTTTTACTAGGCAGTGTGTGCTTGCAGCCCAGAAAGCCACCCATGTCCCAGGCTGTATCAAAAGGAGTGTGACCAGCAAGTTGATGGAGGGGATCCTCCACCTCTACTGGGCTCAGGTGAGACACCCCCACCACCGGAGTACCGTACTGAGTTCTGGGGTCTCTAGTGGAAGAAGGATGTGGAGCTCCTGGAGCGAGCCAGAGACAGCCACAAAGATGCTCCGAGGGCTGGAGCACCTCTGCTCTGCAGACAGTCTGAGAGAGCTGGGGGTGTTCAGCCTGGAGAAGACAAGGCTTTAGAGAAACCATAGAGCAGCTTCCAGTGCCTAAAGGGGCCTACAGGAAATCTTTTGACAAGGGCGTGTAGGGACAGGACAGGGGGAAAATGGCTTTAAACTAAAAAAGTTGAGATTTAGATTAGTAAGGAGAAAATCTTTACTGTGAGGGCAGTGACACAGTGGAACAGGTTGCCCAAGGAACCGTGGCTGCCCCATCCCTGACAGTGTTCAAGGCCACGCTGGATGGGCCTTTGAGCAAACTGGTCTAGTGGAAGGTGTTTACGGCAGGGGGGCTGGAACTAGATGGTATTTAAGGGCCATTCCAACTTAAACTGTTTTATGATTCTAGGTAAAACACACATTTGCCATAACTTCTCTGTCAGGTCCAGCACTTCCACTATGCTGACAAATACACAACTATATTCCAGGCTAATGAGACTTAGAAGAAAACTTCTAAGAGCCAGTACCTGAACAGTAACTGAATATGCATAGAAAACAAAAAGCCACTGTAATCAAAAACCAAACAGCATACTTTGATATCAATAAGTCTCTCATGGTTCTCCCCGTAGCACCTCTGGAAGCATCTATGTGCTGTGGACAGCTTTTTCTCTGCATCATCCAGGCAGTCCAGCTGCTCCAGGCGGAAGTAGCACCACACTATATCCAGCTGCAGTACTGCATAGTTATCAACCGTATTCAGCAGTTCTGTGCTACACTCACTGGAAAATAAACAATAACTTTGTTTATTTTTCTCCACACACACTTTTTTAACACTAATGAAACAACATGCACACTCACATGTTTGAGGAAGCACACACTTCATATCTGAGGTAGCAAACTGATGTCACTGGAATTTTAACAAAGCACTGATCTCCTATCCCATTCACAAATATGCAGGACACTAATGATAACACTACATCTGAAAAGAATTACAGTAACAAAATCAGTTGTGACTACCATTTTAGACAGAATCTCTTTAAAAGCAGAACAGAATTAAACCCTGTGTAATCTCCGAGAGGACAGAGAAACTGTCCTTAGCGCACGTGAACATGCTGGATTTTGTGCCAGTCTCCTTGTATATACACACAAACGGGAAACAGATGAGGCCAGTATTACTTTTGGGATCGCAAAAGCACAATATAGGGCTCTGACTCCTAGTTTACTCACAGAAATCTTGGTATGTTTAGTGACCTCAGCTATCCGTGGCACCTTTTACACGAAATTATTACTTCACAGGAGCAATTGCAAACAAGTATTTGTAACTGTCTCTTGAGCTAATGCAATTTATAGCCTACTACATGAATATTGACAGTTCCTGTTTATGCTGACATGAAAGATTAAATTGCCCGGTGGCAGTATCTCTTTCAGCTGTGAGTCAGACTTTGTCTGCTGCTTCCCATCTGCAGATGGGGTGTGAAGCAGTCCTATGGAAAAATAGGCCCCGATTTACATGCACAGGTAGTGCTCATGCTGTCCCTGGATTTGGCTGTCAGTACAGGAAAGAGACACAAGGACTCAAAAAGGTTCTTACCAGAAGTGTTTATCAGCATCCAGCAAATACGGCAGTGCTATTTCATATTCTTTCTTCTTCATTAATGCTCTGCCCTTCTCATGATAACCCATTGCCAGCACAAGTGCCTAGAAAAATAGATTGAGACTTACTTTTTGCACCTCCCCAACTCAGTTACATAACTGAAGTAGTATCTAGGTAATCCATTAGAGCCCTTGCTCTTCCTAGAAAAATACTATCACATCAGTTCTGTATGAGCAGTACTAGCTCACAGTGCTGCATGCTTTTCTCCCATCTACTAATGTCGGATATTGTCTAATTAAAAGCAATTAATGTTACCAACACATGAAACATTGCACCAAATTTGTTTTAAGAATTCAACCCTCAATAGATTTTCAATGGTGAGTGACAAAAAGCTAAGCTTTTTTCTAGGTGCTACACTTCGTAACAGCATCAAATTTGTTTTGCTTTGCTTATTACAACTATCTTGTAAAACCTAATGATTTACCTTCTGCAAAACCTCAGAACTTAAAATGAAATTCTGAATGTGGCAGGAAAACACTGTAGTTCCTGCAGCATGACAAGTGGAAATGTAAACAATACCTCTGGATAGAGACAACCTGCAATATTTCCTCTCACCAACGTTCAATACTGATGAAATCTTGTGCACTTCAACATTTGATGCTTTAACTCTTCAGGTCAATTACTACTTTCAGCACTTCATCACAACAGCAGGCATTGTGAGACTGGACTGTTGTTAATCCAATCATCCAGAAATTCCAGGTGATGCAGAAAACATGCTCTGTTTCAGAAGAGGCTAGACCAGCAGTCAGCACATGTTGAGGCTTGCTCGTTTTTCCCCAAGGTTGGGGTTTTTGTTATTGCATGTAATTCCAAGTATTTATAAAGATTTGTATTTATCTTTAGAAAATGCCACAAACTTAAAGATAGCATCTATCACTATTCTGCTTCAGCAGAACATCAAGTAGATCACTCCTACCATAATTCAGTGCACCTAAAGACATTTTCAGTTGAGAACGTGCAACTTTCTTGAACAGTGGACAAATTTAAGCTTAAGTGCAAAAGATCTCAAAGCTATTTTAAGAGAATCTGATTTTGAGAGACTTGTTAAGTACCCAATTGAAACTAAGGCCTAACAAACAAGTTCTTTTCATGTCATTCGAGGGCACCCTAAATTTAAAACAGGCGCTAGGATATAACAAAGTTAAAGCCCATGTTAAGACTTCAAAAATAAAATCTGGACCACACAGTCATCAGTGCAAGATCAGACCTGTGATTAGGTCAGCAATCAAGATCTGTCTCCAGATGACTGAAGTATTCCTAATTGTAGAGTTTAATTTTATTGCAAAGTTATTTCTAGAAGCAAGCATCTAGTGGAGGCAGGGTTACATCCCCCAAGTCTGACAGTACTTCAATCCCATATTTGAAATGGTTCTCAAATCAAGCTTTAAAAAGCCATCTTAGTAGTTTTCTAAGATCCCTTTACCTACTTTCTTAGCTTGATGAGGAATCTCGATTGACCTTCCAGTTTGATTAGCTATATCTAGGTATGGAACAGAATCTGGATCTAAGTATTCCTCTGAAAGATAAGAAAAAAGGGTTTAAATTTTAAGTACCAGAGCAACCCTGCTGTCATAAGATTATGTCAATAAGCACACTGTTGCACAAAAAAAGCAAACAACCTACATCAAAAACCCGAATTACATATAAAGGCTCATGTAGCTTTTCGGACATATCTACCAACAGTAGCCCTGCTCAGACAAGTACGAAGAACTTTTAGCAAGGTCACTAAGGAAAAGGCCCTGCACATCCAGAAATTTAGACACAACATTAAAAGTTACAGGAGTTGTAAGGAATTGTTTGCAGAACACAAAACACCTGACATTTCACATGCTAGAACATTTGAAATGAGTTATCAAATGAAGTACAGAGTATCAAAAAAGACAAATCCACAACTGAGCACTGCTCATAAAACAGGAGAGGAGGGGGTAAAAGGCAAACAACAGCTCTGTATTTTCCTTTCCCCATAGCTTTAATGCTTATAACCAAACTATCAATTTTATTTTTACTTCCATCTGATTTACAATGAAAAGATGCTTTTTCTTGTAAACAAAAGACAGTTAAGCAGGAGGTTTGCTGAGATTAAAAGCTTCTGTCCTTTAATTTTTTCTCAGATGAAACAAAAGGGTTGTTAAACTCCTTCTATCCTTCACACAGAAACTTCAGCCTGTAAGCTCATGATGGACTTTACTCTGAACTCTGACAACAACTGACCGTAAGTGGTAAATACCTTGAAAAGGCCCCATAGAAAAATTCTGGGGCCTAAATCACCCCTGAAGTCCATAAAAGAGATCACTTTTTTCATTTATTCAAAATCAGATATTGTAGTAAGAAACAGGCTGTCACGGACCATTAAAAGAAGCTTTGTTCACGTATTTTTGCAATTGGCAGGAATTCATTGCATACCCAGTTTCACAGTGCCTTGTTTGGGGATTTTTTTTAAACAATAGAGAAGTAATTTAAACTCACCACCTAGCAATGCAATTCACAAACACAACCTCATTCTGAAAAATTATTACTGCCAAATTGACTGTATCCCTTTAACTTAATCCACAGTTGCCAGCAATCAACAAACACAACAATAACAGAACAGTCACATTACATGAGAATGACAAGCGAGCTGTTCTGCACAATGAAACCATGGTTACACACAGCCATATCCAAGGAAGACCACAAGAAAGTGTTTAATGACTTACAATACATTACTCCATCCCTGGCAGTGTTCAAGGCCAGGTTGGATGAGGCCTTGGGTGATATTATTTAGCGTAAGGTGTCCCTGCCCATGGCAGGGGGGTTGGAACTTGATGATCTTAAGGTCCTTTCCAACCCTAACGATTCTATGATTCTATGATTCCACTGTGCTTACGTCTACAATAAATTAAAAGCCTGTTCTCATGAGTCTACCAGCTCCTCAACTGACAAGCGCAAATTAAATAATAATTAAGTCATATCCTTCTTGAAGTGCAAAATGTCTTCTGGCATTCTAGTTGTGTAAGAAGGGTTAGACTAGAAAGAAGTTTTAAGTCAACTTAAAAATCAGTTTTCAAGTAGGCAGAAACCTAGAAAAGTATAAACTGAAATCCAGCCACAGCACAGGCACTCTTCTACGTTGAAAGGCTACTGAAAAAAGTAACTTTTGATGTGCAAGAATTAATGAGCACCCTCTCCCCTCCACTCCACAAAAAAAAAAACAAAAAACAGCAAGCCCCCTTACCTCTCTCTGCTAGAATTTCCAAACCCTTCTTAGTTCTTTGCATCTTTTCATTTATTTCTTTTTCTTTCTTGTGTTGAAGTTCTTCTTCCTGAACTTTTCTTTTTGTTTCCTCATCACTCTGCTCCAGCTGAAGTACCATCACTTTTGCATTGTGTGTTATGCCCTGGTCTTCAAGGGTTCTGCCTGCAAGATAGAGTATGATGAGTGTAATCCAAATGCTCTGTGGAGAGAGACTATTTTACATTGTCCTGTCACTGGGGGAGGACAACACCACCAACAAAACAACCAAACTGAATGGCCGCTTGTACTGTACTGAAGAACTACAGCAATTACTAGACTCAAAAACTCAATCAAAATCCCTGCCAATTATTGACATATTCAGCAGAAATTCAAATCAGACTTTCATCTTAGAAGCGCTTTTAAAATGATTGGTATGTTTCTTTGCTTGCCTTCCTCCCCCCCACCCCCCTGATACATTCAAAAAATACAATTGTTTCTATTTCAGTTAATTGATCTTCAGGCAAAAACTGGAACAACATCATCTCCAGGATCAAACACCACAACAGGACAGTAACATGACAGAAGAACTTGGAATTAAATCTGAGTTCCTACTGTCAATTCCATGGCTCCTAATTCTGACATATTCTATGAGAAATAAATATGTCAGATGCATAGGCCATCAATAAACAGAAAGCTGTTGTCATCACTTCCCACACCACGTCTGATGAGCTGAACACGTGTAATGCATTACAAAAAGGTTCTAAATGTGTTGTTAAACAACATGTTCAAGGAACTTTAGAGTTTCTCTTCAATGTGCATTTTCAGTGTTTCAGCACTTGAAAAATGGATTTCAACATTTATTACATGATTCCTATAATTGCTCTAATTCTATCTAAGAATTTTGATCATCAAAAGTTGTTGAATTTTCTGTACAGCAGAACCTGACAAATGTAACTGCTATTCCTTGGGAATTTCTGAAAGTAACAGAACTGCAAGAGGTTTTTCTTCTGAGAATCTGTAAACTAGAAAGTTATCATAAAAATATACTCAACTAGATATACATACCCAGGTCAAGCTGCTTCTTATTTATGATTATTTTGATAGCATTTTCTTGTAATGCATGCTCCTGTGCTATCCTGTAAATAAATAATTTCACCCATGAATACAAGCTTGTAAGGCTATACTACATTTCCCTTAGAATAGCAAATAAATTAAAAATGAGTACACTCGTAACTGGCTTAAAGCTGCTGCTAGAAGAAAAGTAACATCATCAGAAAGCTTTGTACACTGTACCTGGAAAGGGAAAAAACGTAGACAGAAAAGAACTGGATTTTATTAGGTTTAAAAACACAAAAGGAAGAGAAGCTAATGCTCACTGTTCTGCCAGTCAGGGATTTGGAACACTGATCACTATTGCCTTCTCAGGTCCCTGCTGGGGATTTAGAGAACTATCTTTTCCCACGAGTTGAAACCTTCCTGTTTTCTATCTGTTAAACCACAGCTTCTTACGTGAAGAACTGCCTTACAGGGACACTGGACACTGTGCTATTCAGACATACATGCTAAGAAGCAGCTTAAATCAACCAAATAGTTTGTCTTTTTTTTTAGTACTATATGACAGCATGCCAGCATATTAGAGAAGAACCAAGAGTAATTACACTTACTGTGATCTGAGCTCCTTGCCTGTGATGAACAGGTTAGTTTCCAGAGGGACCTTTCTGCTCTGTAGTAATTATAATGGGTAAGGGGAAAGGAGTAGGGAAGAAAAAAGCATGGTATCAAGATACTTTGGACAGTTTCTAATTAATTGTTTTACAACAACTACAATTTCTTTTTCAAGTAGTGGGGCATACTTATTACTAATTTCTGGGCAGGGAGTCTTGTTACATAGTGCTAAAAATAAGCATTGTAACAACAGCAGATTCAGAATAAGATAAATCTAAAATCAGAACCAAACAATCTAAACTGACTAATTTAATTACACACTTTCAATCTGAACTCTGCTTTATAATTATGCTACTCACCTGTAACTGGCTAACTTATGCCTAATTCCTAGTAATGTCTATGGTCCCAGATTAGATAAACTGGAGTTTTCAATTAGTTAATTCCCCTATGTTCAGTAGCATTATAAAGAGGAAATATGAAACTATTTGCTTGTTTTAACTGCATGCCAAACACTTAACACCCTCTAGACTGTAGCCCATCACGTGCCCTGGCAATTATTTTTCACTACAGGAGAGAGAACAGTTACGACTGTGTTGTGATTTTGCAAGTATTCAGTAAAAAAAACAAAAACAAAACAAACACCTTCTGAAGCATAGGTTACCATCTAGGATCATCTTCAGAAAAAAACTCACCCATTGCCCTTTTCCAGATAAACACTCACTTCTGTTGCTGATGACTACAACCTTTAAGTACCCCTGCATAAAGAAGTTCTCTTTCACTGTTATCAGAGTGGATGAAGATGTTCGGCATTGGGGAAGATGCTGCTCCTGCACAAGATCAAAACTAGGAATTGATTGGAGACAGCTGTGCTTGTCTGAGACTGTTTTTATGGGAAAATGTTCCCAGATAAGAGGCCCTATATTAATAAGGGCCTGATAAGATTCTGCTCTATCCTGTGATCAACCTATATAGCACACTTCACATCCACATGGTTAAATCCCCTCAACCCTTGAAGCTGAGCATCTTTATTCAAAGTGACACTTGAGATCAGTCCCCAGCCTATGGTCAGCCCTCATACTATGCTGGACCCTGCTTGGCAGGATACCAGGTAGTATCAGAGCTGACACTAACAGCTTGACAGTATGGATGTCCATCAAAGAGTGAACAGCCTGTCCCCACCCTTCAGCTGACTACGGTAGATGAAGCCACACAATTTGATATAATGGCTAGTCATACACTGATTTAATTAGATTTACAGCTTTATTCTGGCATATTTTCTGTGTGAAACTAGAGGCTGAAGCCTGGCTTTAAAAGGGCAGTTCTGTTTTCGTGAAGCTTTTAGGAGCCTGACTTAAAGTGAACAGATGAGTACCATCACAATGGCAAATCCTGCTTCCTATTTCCAAGTTCAAACACCGGATGTACCTATTTTAAAGCAAGTTTAGTTAGCTGCCTGGGCTGGAATGGTTACATCAAGATAATGTTATCACTATAAGAATAGTGCCACATGCCATGGCTAAAGATAGAGAAGTTCTTTACAGTGGAATCAGCCATATATGACCTAAGATGACACCAAGTTCAAGTTGCTTATTGCACTTAAAGCGATTTATTTATTTATTTAAAGCTGTCATTTAAATGAAAGCTTTGGTAATATAATGATATTAATATCCTAATTCAACTTTAGGTATTCTACGGCAGAAAAAATACATCTGTTCTTTACTGCCAATACAAACAGTTACATCAGAAGGAATGAAACTGAACTGGAGAGACACTTAATCTAGTTTACTATTCTTAATTGAAAGATAATTTCTCACTAAACACTCAAGGGGAAGAATTATTAATTTCCTAGTATTATACTCCTTTGCCACAATATCCCCACATACCTGGGAAACTGAAACATACCTATATAGTTCCCCCTCTTCCCATATTTTACAGACCTAAGAGATCTCTCTTTAAAAAATACCTGAAAAAGTTGAAGTGAAAATATTTGCATTATCTACATCTCTAGATCTCCAAAGGCCAATGTAAAGTTACTTTTCTACAATGTCACTTACTTTTCTACGAGGAAGATAGATATCGAGTCTTGCAATCCCAGTCACTCTAAAATGTTCATTTCCTGTTCCACGCTCAATTGCTTTACACCGTATTTCTTCCAGCATATTCTCTGTATCATTCTCACTGATACTCAACTTGGATGAATATTTTTGTACAAGCTCCTAAGAAAACAGCAAGAAAAAGCAGGGAAATGTACAAGCAGTATGACATGACAGCGTATGACATCAACTCAGAAAGAATATTTACCTTCATCTCTTTACCAGCTTCTTTGTTTTCATTTGTATAAGGTGGTTTCCATAGCTGAATTTTGTCCTCTCTCAGGCAACTTGTCAGTTTTGATATTAAATACTTCTTCTGTGCCATTCTTTTAAAACAAGAGCACAACTGGAAAAGAAAGAAAAATAATCCATCTCTATATAGCTTTCCTCTACAAAGATACAGTACTTTTTCAAGAAGTCTAAGTGATATTTTGGAATTCTGCACAAACCCCCTTGAGTATAAAATGCATTCTGTGTATTTTGCTGGAGGGGAATCCAAGTCCAAACTGCTATAAAAAAATTGGGGGGAAAAAAAAAAAAAGAAAATGAAAAGGGGATGAAACCTGGACTGGAACAGGGATAATCCAGAAGTTGCCTGTCGTTTCAAGACAAACCTCTTAACCCCTCATGTGAGCCAGAATTGCTGAAGGTGCTGATTTATCAAAATCAGCAATTCAATTTTTCTGCTCTGCTCTGGACAGGCTGCTCAATCCACCCCCACCATTCCTCTCTAAAATGTGTCCTGGCTGTACCTCTGTTTCCCTGTTTCTCCCACTTCCCTACTTCAACAGCCTTTCTACAGTTGAACATGAATTATGGCTCTCTTTGGGAGAAGAGTCAGGAGGGAACATCTCAAAACCACAAGCTCCACCAGAACAGCATAACATAAAAGTCCCAGCCTCCAGCAAAGTGAGATCAACTGGAGTGCAAATAGTAGACAATGATGTATGCCTCCTCTCCCCACTCTCAACCATTTGTCAAGCAAGCAAACGTAATGGTATCATAAAACGATACTGTAAACTTCTGGTTTCACAAAGATGGAACAGCAGGGTACCGCTTTTCATAGTCCAAGAGGCACCTTTCCCATTGCAAAGCTAGAACAGGCAAGCAGGGCACAAGCAACATACAGGATAGAGGATGAGATCAAAGATGAAGTCCACTGTAAATCTGCATCAGTACCCATTAACAGGGAAGAGATGGCAGTGAGCTCAACAGAGCAACTCCCTGGATAACAGTAAGAGTTCAGGCTGAATTCATCACCACAAGTTATTTTCACCCTGCCCAGAGAAAGCAGTAATCTCTGTGAGTGAACCAGCATATCCCTGAAATAAAACCCCAAGAATAGGGAAGGCATAAAGAGGGCAAGGAAAGGTAGCTGCAGTGATCTCAACATAAGAAAAACAAACGAATCTATGTACACGTTAAAGCATGTGAGAATTGTGTGCTTTGGACACTGGGAATCTTACAGAAGACATCGTTAATTTATACTGAAAAGCATTTAAAGTGCTAGCATATATATATGTGCTAAGGTTTCCTTTTCTCATTCTTGTTTATTAGCTCATTAACTCTCAGGAAAAAAGGGAAGAGCAAAAAAGAATCAAATATTTCTATCAATTTTCCAGGGTTTTTTTTTTCCTTGCTTGGAAAAAAAAAATCCAATACTATTTGGAAAAAAAACAATCCAATACTATTTGGAAAAAAAAAACAATCCAATACTATTTGAGAGCAAAAAACCACAGGCAAACATCCAACGTGTGGCAACTACTGGATAACCTTACCCTGACCCCAGCTTTAGCAAGCTATGGAGAATTTCTGAATGCTGCAGACAACTGTATTTTCTAAAGAGGAGTGAGAAGGATTAACTGAGCATGTGGATGGTTTGACACTCCTTCGTGTTTAATTACTGTAATTTGCATCGTGTCTGTCCTAACTGGGCAACAAACATGAATTATTTTTCTTGCTGGATAATGTTGTTGTTATTATTTTAGGGGCAAAGTAAAACATGGTATTTACAAACCTGAAAGCAACAAACATGCTCAGTTTTCAACAGACGGCATTGAATTTGTTAGTGCAACTTTTCCCCTTTTTGAAACCTAGCTAGGCAATTCTCATGAACACCCTGCAACCATCACTCTCCCACTTTTAGGTTATGCCAGAGAATCATTTTATAGCTGTAATTCTAATCAACATTACCTTAAGAAACGTAAAAGGTATCCATGGCTTTGTGGCATCCAGATAAAAGTCTAATATTGCAATCTACGCTTAAGGCAACAAATTGTAGATACAAATGGCATTTATAAACCGCTCATTCAGCTTTTAACAAACACTAAGTTTGCAATTTTTTACTGGACTATAAACCAAAAAACACTGGAGTCTCCAAGTAAGCTTATTCTTTTCAACCTTCTAATTATAAAAAAAAAAAAAAAATAAATTTTGCTTTCACAAACATAAGTTCCCATTTCACCGTAACTAAACTGCAAGAGAATCCTCAGCAAAAATAGACGCATTTCCATCAGCCAGCATCACAAGGGCTCGTGACACAATTTCACTTTCGATGACAGTTTAAAGGGACTTTCCAAAACCAACCTGAATAAACAAACAGAGGTATTTCCCAAGGGCCATCCTGAATGCAAAAGGGAGTTTTTGTAACCTAAGTGTTTTCCTCTAAAGCCACTTAACCTTATATATGGCATAATCCAATTACAGAAATAAGGATCAAAAGCCAGATTTTTGATGGCAGGAGCAGCAGATTCTCTGAATGGCTTACAAATAAAGCAGTATGCATTAAACTTTCCTAAAGACAAGGAAAGCTCCCTGGCACAACTATGGCACATCCCTCCACCGCAAAAGGAGGGTAAGACACTGAGCCAGCATCACATATATAACCACGAAGCAGCATGTCAACAGAAAGATGAAACCCCAAACACTACCAGCCCCAGCCCGGGAGCCGGTGGTGTCCGGAGGCCTCCCCATGCTCACATCCAGTCCATCCCTTACCACAAGAGCGCAAGTTAGGGTGTTACCGGGGGACTTTAACCACAGCCACGAAGGCACCACCCTTTCTAGGCACCTCCAAACCACGGCGGCAGCGCAGCAGATGCGACCAGCCTCAGCTTCGGAGCGGGTACTCGGGAAGCTGCCAGGCCGAGTAGACATCTCGGGGAGAGAAAGAGAGGGAAGGAAGGGGCGTAGGGTGCTCCCAAGCCCAACGCTTAGACCCTCGGGCACCCACCTGCGCCCTGAGGCGGACGCCGGGCCTCAGAGCCCGAGCAGCCTCTGAGGGGAACTTGGGCTCTCACGCAACGGCTCCCCGCCGCCAGGGCTCGCCGAGGGCTGCCAAGGCCGGCCGCCCGCCCTGAAGCGAAGGAGCCAGCAGCAGCGGCCACCCCTCGAGCCCGAGCAACGGCCGGGTAGGCTGGGCTTACGCTTCTCCTCGCCGCACCCTCCGCAGCGCTTACCTGCGCAGCTTCCGCGGGGGGGCTGGCCCTGCATACGCGTCACACCCACCGGTGCCTGCTGGGGAGAGGCAAGCTCCTACGGGAGCCCGAGAGGCCCAGGGGAGCGGAGCGGAGCGGGGCGAGGCGAGGCGGGGCGGGAGCTCATCACGTGGTTGAAGCAGGGTCCCGCCCGCCATCTTAGGGTGTTGTCCTGAGCGGGGGGTGCGACAGGGTTGTGTTTCTGTGTCTCTGTGGCCCTCGCTGCTGTTGTCCTTGTGCTGTCTTACAGCTTGATTGTCCTCTGCGTGATGGGGCCCGAAGCGGCGCTCCCTTCCAGGAGGAGTTGGGACCTGGAGGAGGCTGAATGCCCTACAGTTGCTCCTCAGATGCTTCTCTCAATTTATGAGGCAAAGCTGTGACTGAAAGTGTTGAGGGAGTCTTTCCCAAAAGGCTGAGGTGCTGTGGAAGGTGCCAGGAAGGATTGATGTGTGATTTTCTTTGCTGTGCTCCTTGAGGGCAGCGGTGTCCAGGGTGAGCTTTTGTATGGGACCTGGTGTTTCCCCTTCAGCAGTGGCTGACAGGTGCTTGCCTGTGGGACTGTCAAAAGTTAACTTGGTTTCAGAGGCTGGGCTGGAAGAATACATGGTGTATGTGCAAGGCTGGTTCTAAACACCATCTCAAGTTGAGGTGGTGCTGGAATATGACTTATGGCTCTCATAATGCCCAAGAGCAGGAGTATGGTGCAAGGCTGTGCAGACATTTGGCTGTACACTGTAGGCTGCTCAATGTTGTATTTGTATATGAGGCCCTCAAAGGGTTGGGGCTTGTTTCTGGAATCTTTTTGGTGTCTGTAAAAAGATGCGTTCTTGCAGTGGGTTACAGCAGAAATAATTAACTCATGTGGGGTTAATTCTTCTCTGTGACCAGCTGTCCCAGCAGTGGAGGGATTGTATTCTAATTGCTGTGGTATGTGACCAAAATCATTGCGTTGGAGTATTATTTGTTCCAGGATAGATAGGTCTGCAGGACTGTCCTTACATAAAACATTCTTCTTTAGGTAGTCATACAGACTAAGTGGGGGTACTGTCAACTGCAGCTTCGGTAATGGGAACCTCACAGGTATCATGAGCTTGTGAACAAGACACTGAACTAGAAATTCAGGATTCCAGGCTCCCCTGTGTGCATAAATGACTAGTCAAGTTTGCCCAGTAATAAAATAAGGGCACACTTGCTTTTATGACAATCCTGAGCTCAGTGTTTGAAACTTAGTAACTATGTAACTTAGAAACTATGGTAATAGAATGATAAAAGTTCCTGTCCCATAATCACCAAACATGAACAAGCTAACAGTAAAGGATTTCAAAAACTGGGACTTTATAATATTTGAAGTTTGTTGTTTTTTTTTCCCTCATGTTTCCCTGTTTTATTTTACTGCAGCTGTTTTGGGGGAGAGGGGGGAAGTCTTGTTAGACAATGAGCCTGTGTAATTTTTCAGTCTCTTGAAGTGTAAGTATGGCAACTTTTGTCATAACCAAAACTACATCATTAACAAATAAAAATCTACTGAAGTTGTTTTTCATAATGTCCTTGGGAATAAAGTTGAAAGACTTCTCAGAAGGCAAAAGGCCTGCTCTTAACAAGTTCAGTCTGAATCACAGTAATATGCTAGAGAAACCTCAGGAAAAGGACAAAGTATTTGTATGAAAGTGATCACAAAGCAGTTAAGTTACTTAGTCTATGCATAAACCTGCAATGAGTTTTAAATCAGCATATTCAAGGTCTGTGTTTAAGTAAGATAACAATGTAGCTATAATTGTTTATTAATGTCTCATGCCAACCCAGGAACAGAAATTGGCATCTGAGCTGGAAACTAGTCTGGGCAGGCCAGTTAACTGAAAACACTAGACACCCTGAAAAAAATCACAACAAACACCTGTTACCAAACCTATGTCTTCGTTTTGCTGCTTTTACTGAGGATGAGTGGAAAATTCCTCAGGCGTTACTGAGGCGTACTCATGGCTGTTGGTAATAGCTGGTGCTTTTCCGCACTGGTTTAAGGACTGTCACTTACAGGAGATGAAGCGTTTGCCTGCTAGTGGTGGCTGGATCAGTATGGGATGCTACAGAGTTTGGGTCTGTAACTGGTGAGTGGCATAGTGAAAACAATGTTTCACCAAATGAAGCAAAATAGCATTATATTCCTTTTTTTTTTTTTTTTCTATTCTTGTGGACTTTACAAAGTACTGTGATACACTTACTGCCATGAGTCTTCTGCAATGGAAGCATGGGCTCTGACAGATCTGTGCATACATCTCCAGATGTAGTATTCTCCATCAATCACAACAAAAGCCAGTGGAATTGTAGGAAGAATTAATGGTTTGAAGAAATGTTGGGTGCAAAGCAAATGGTCGTTCCTATTGGAAATGAATAATACTCTTATCTCTTTGACAATGTGCTTTTATTAGCACATTGGTGTCACTCTGTTTCCAAGATACCTTATGCTGACAAGAGTTGTGTCTAGAAGGACATAAACCACAGCTGAGCATCTTTTTTTTTTTTTTTTCTTCTCACATTTTGTGTGTGGATAGTGTGATTTTGAGATAAATGTGGTAACTGGGGTTGTGTGCTTGCAGACTTGCTTCCAGGGATCATGAAGAGCTTTGTGGGGCATCCGCCTGATCTTCATTTTGCTGTCCTTTCAAGGCTCAGATATGGAATGATTCAGAAGAGCCAGCACCCACAGAAGAGGGTTTCTTTCCTCTGAAGGTCTTGCAGGAGGGGAGACCGGCAATAACTACTCACTCTTAAAAACTTGCACATGTTTGCACTGCAGTTGAGCCACAGGAGAAGGTGTTAAATCCGATCTATGAAAAACAGGTGTAATCCTGCAGTTATATTTGTGTAGTTGAAATGGTTATACCCCCTTTTTGCACAAACAGTTGTAACAGCAGAAAGAGGCATAATGCTCTGGTAAGGAAGGTTTGTGAATATGTGGTACCAGGGAGCTAAGGAATTATTCCAGACTTTTTTTTTCTAATTAAATACTGAGGATAGATGGGAACCAACAATATGTTTTATAAGATTTTATAAGAAAAAGGTGACATTTACTATTAAACCATTAATTTATTGCCATTGAAACAATAGAAATGAGTGGGGATTCTCTTTGTTAATTTTAAAAATACACACATCAGAACCTATCTTCAATATCTTAAGGAAAGTGAGTGATGAAATCATACATCAGGTCCACCAATCACCTTCAATACTGTTTCATTTGTTGTTTATTGTCTAAAGTAAATATAACTCTGCTGAAATTTATCCTGGTTGCTTCATCAGTAGTTCTACTAGTCTTTGCTATAGCTCTTTCAGGTATTTCAGATATTGATGTGATAAAATCTTAGTTTCTGGAATCAGTGACCTGAAAAGGAGGAGGAGAAAAAAAAGACAAAAAGAGATGAAATTGCTCTTGTATCTCAAGATTCAAGTAACAGAAGTGAGTATCTGTCGTTGCAGCCCAGCATCTTTGTAAGAACATTTCATTTTACATTGTACTATAAAACAACAGATTATGTAGTAAGGATCTTCTTTGGCTAGTAAAAGTAATAGGCCCTCAGCAAGTCAATCAGTGTAAGTAGGAAGGCTATTTTTCATTCAAATTTTTTGCTAAGTCTTATGTATTACTGAATGTCTTCATTCTGAGACATATAATCCAAGCCTCTTTGCTGCTTCAGAAATTCTTGGCCCTTTTTTATTAGGGAAAGGGTAAAAGTTCAGTTTATTGCAGGCTGACGTGCATTTTGTAGGAGAAATGTGTTGATGTGTCCAAACTGCTGAAGTGGCTGATTTTGGAGGCTTTGGGCAGGTGCTTGAAATGCTGCTGCCATTCTGTTTACTGAAACTGTTCAACATGCTTGAACTTCTCAGTTGACTGGGTGCAGATAGTTCATTAGCTTCTTCTAATTCCTTGGGTTGTAGTGTGCTGTTTCCCTGTGAAATCAGTCTTTGTTTGTCAAAGTTACACAGGCCGTTCTTGCAGTGGGAGACATCCTGGGTAACTCCTTGATAAGGGGCTTGCACCAGACGGTGAATTCCCAGATGGGTATGCCATAGTGAGTTGTCTTGTGTGTTGCCACTGCTGGTCATCTCCAGTCTGACCTTTCTGACAGGAGCATGCTCTGTAAATGACTTTGATCTCACTTTTTTATTAATTATAACAGTATTGACCATTGATTCTGAGATAACAGATTCATGTTCACCTACAAGAGAAATGCATTTATGCACGTTACTATGGTGGCAGAAATCAAGGGTCTAATTTCTGTAGCATAAACTCAACTGAAGAGCTTTCACAGATGAATTTATCTATACTTTTCCCATCTGTGGCTGAGCATAGTGCAAGTTCTTTTGAATACCAGCTTATGGAGTAAGAATATTTCATGCTTGGTTTTGCAGTTCTAAGGACATAAATGGCACCTTAGGGTTAGGCAAGTAAAAATGGAGATTTATTGAGTCAATATTGATCTAACTGGTACTCTAAGACTCATTAACAACAGATTGAGAATTGACTTTCAGTAATTAATTGCTTGTAAGCAAAAGTTCTTAAGGTGAGTAGGGATTTGCTCAGTGTGTCGGTAAGTGCTGTAATTTGAAAGACAAAAATGTTTTGTTTGATACTGTTTGAAGCTTTAATAACAACCTAAAAATACTGTGACCAGTTTTAGATAAAACGATTTGTGAATGTTTTCCTTCTTTTTCTTAACGAGGGATCATTAATATCTAGGTGTGTATTTTAGTATTTTATTGCAATTTTATTATTGTTATAAGTATAAATGGTGTAATGTAAGTAGCTTATCACACTCTTGTTGCCTAAATGATCACTTAGAGGAAAAATCTGCCTGCTCCATGGATTGTATAGAGTAGCTGTAACAGTGGGAGAGAATCTGGTCTCTTATTTTTTTTATTCAATGCCTGTAGCTTAATTTCTAACACAGTATGAAAGTAACTGTTAGAAATGTATAAGGTATTAGGGACAGAAATGGTAATGCTACTTTAATTACATGTAAATTAAATTTACATCAAATTACTGAATATGACTGTTTTTCTGTGCCTTGAATAGAAACCGAACAGCTACAGTTACACTAAAGCTAAACACTGCTGTTGGCATTGCAAGTACTCATGAAATATACCTGTTAGTGTAAATCTATTTTCAAGTAGGAGTTGTGCAGAATGCTGACCCTTATTTACAGGCTTGAGTTGTAGGAACTGTGGCTGTTGCAGTAGGAGTTATGAAGCAAAGTGAAAAAAGTAGACATAGAACAGTGCTGATTATATTCTAAAACACAATATCTGGATAGCCATTTTAAAAGAACTGTAACCCTGAATTTGGAATGAAGCTAGTTCAAATAGGATGCTGCCTTTAAACACCCTCCTCACACCCCCTCCCTCCCCCTGCCTTTATAGCTGTCTTTCATACCATCTTTACAAGGAAATATTTGAAGATCCAGCTAATTTACTGGCAATAAGTGAACCTGTACAACAGGAGGGGCTTTCATCACTGTCTTTGGCTCCCACTGATGAAGCAACACCACCAGCATAATAGAGAATTTTTACTGCTCCCTGGGTTGAGCACATAAGGTTGATGTAAGAGGTGCTCTGCAGCATGGCTCTGGGAGTGAGAATCGTGTCAACCCACATCTTCTGCTCTCTTGCAGTGTTACCAGGACAAAGGAGACTAAAGCACACTCAGAGCTTGGAGATACAGATGTGTGTATGTAACAGAAAAGTTAATCTTATTTCAAGTTAGCTTGGGAAATACTTGGAAGATTCCCAAGTCAGTCTCAGTGTTTATTCTCTCGTGACTGCATGTGCTGAATGCTCCTATTTAATTCCTAAAGCAAATACTACTTTTTTTTTTTTTTTTTTTTCAGCTTCTTAGTCAATAGATACTGAAGACACAGCTGTATAATCCCATAGCTGGGAACTTTCAAATCTTGTCCTGCTCTTTGTTCTCAAATAAGCAGGAACAGGCAGAACCACGAATGTGTCTGTGTCTACTGGGGAAGGAACAGAAGAAAGTTGTTTTCAGGTGACTTCTCAATTACTAACCCACCAATCAAAATCCCAGAGAAGTTAGAGGATCTTAAATTCTGTTTAAGGGTCCACAACTTCATGACTCTGGCAAATAGGTAGTGACATACAAAGCTGAAAGTCCTCAAGAAAAGAGTTACCATTCCAGCTGCAGTGCAATAAATCTGAAATGCTCAAAATCCCTATGGTATCATGGCAGGACAGGTGGTTTGTCATGCAGGAACAAGACCTTTGGCAGGGATTTTTAAGACCGTAAGTACTGAAGCTGCCTTCTTTCCATGTGTCTGGCCTTTGAGGTTTGGATGTACGTGTGGGGTTGGGGTGGTACTATTGTCATCAATGCCCTTCGCAGCCTAGCCATGATTTAACCTCTAGGTAGGGAAACAATTTGCTATCAGTACAAAATACTGATACATACGTGGACTGCCTTTTGGTACTAGCTGGAGTTTCTGAATAGTTTAAGCTTGTAACTTTAAAGAGTGTAGGGCATGAGGCCATCCCAGTATGGCAGTGTTCATTTCTGCATGACATATTCTTGAAAACAGATGCATGTAACAGGTTCAAAGTGCTGAGCTATGTAATAATTTTTCCCAACTTCCAAACCCTAGGAATGTGTAAAATCAACTTTCAGGACATTGAGCACTCAGCATTATAAACCCCCTCAAATGTAACTGCTTCTAACAGTAACATGAATCTTTTCCATGCGGGTTGTTTGAAGGTTAAAGTTGAGTGCAGTAGTTGTGAATGTTTTGGATTATGTGTATGAAAATATTTGTATGTGAACTTCCAGCTCTACTAAATTTTAAACTTCCCAGAAACTGTGCAGTCTCACTGTGTTATGTCTTTTCTTTAATCACCAAATGGTGTCCTTGCAAAAAAATCTCCTGATTACATTCATTATATTCAAAGCTTTAGTTGCATTTAATCTGAACACAAACTTTTGCTTCCTTTCTTTAACCAACTTATTTTTTGCTATAGCTGATTAGATGGGCTGTTTTGTCTTCAAGTTAGTTGCCTTTTCATACCTGGTACAATAAGCTTGTATATATATATACGTATTTTTTATGCCTCACAGAGATTTAAATTCTTTAAACATAAGAATTGCTAGACATTTGAGTGAAAGAATGTTGAAAATATATCTGACATAGCAGGTAGATGAGTGATATATACCTTTAATTGTTTCCTATGTATGTACCTTCCAAGCAATTTTCAGTGAAGATACTTTAAAACCAGGACCTCTTGTTCAAAGCTTCTAAGAGTTACTCACTGTGACTCTTAGTTACTTTTTAACAAAAATCCAACTCGTGCTAGTTACTTGATACTTGTTTTTGTTTCCTGTAGTCTTGTAGGACACATTTCTTTACACAGACAAAAAAGGGGGAAGGAGACAAAGGACCCATAATTGCTTGTTCTGACAGAAGCATTGAAGAGAGCAGAAATGTTACAGAATAGATTGCACAAATACAGTGATGCTAGACATAAAGACATGGCTCCTGTAATAGTTAACATTTATGTTTAGAATTTTACTGACATAAAACCTGTAAAATCTTATCTCAAAAATTTTCATCTGTTTCAAATTCATGTTAATGTTTCACCATCATGTATAAACATAAGACCACATTTCAGTGAAAAGAATGAAACCCCAAAATAACAGAAAAGGAATTCACTTAATACCTCTTTTGAAGCTAAGCATAAGAAGAACAAATCTAGGAGTTATTAAAGATTTAAAGAAGCAGTCATTACATCTACATTGGCATTTTTTTCCCTATAAATATAAGCATACCTGTTTTAAAAACAATAACGTGTGATTGCAGTTTTTGCTTCTGTTTTATATGGTCATACTGCTCCTCAAGAAAGCTCACATCCATCTCTGTTGGCGGCTTATCACAATCTGAAGCCTGTTGCTCTGAGGTATGAGTCACTGAAAAAATACCAGTCATGTATTTGTAAGCCTTCACCATCTGCTCCAACAAGGAAGAAAAAGTCATGCAGAAGCAGGACATTTCCTTCATTGTGTTGGGAATAAGCAAATCGAGTATGAGACATCTGAATTCTTCATAAATGAAGAAGTAACTTTCTTGTAAGTGAGGTGACTTCTTTCAGAAGTTGCGTGGTCTGCTCTGAAGTTGTGGATTTCAGCCAGCTTGTTTTCATGTGGTGTGGCTGGACCTACTGCACACAGAGTTCATGATTATAACTGAGCAATTTGGTTTAATGTTGACTTAAGGTTGTGAGCATATGAAACTTTGCCAAAAACCACAGTGAAATACAAAACCTCATTGAACACAGTCAGGTGCACAAAGGGCTGGGTAATACTGGTTTATTGTAGTAATGTGAATTCTTGAAGGGACGCTGTCATGGTGACCTCCCCAAGACAGTAATTCCACCGGGGAAATCTTTCATCAGGTTTCTTTCCATGTACTTTGTGTCTTTTCCTCTCCACTCTCCCTTCCTTAAATTTTATCCAGTTTCATTCTTTCCACGCATCTTGGGGCAATGGTGTGGGATGGAAGGATTTATTATACCTCAATTTTGTGCTTGTTGCTTCCTTTCAAAAATGTATTATATCAAATAAGGTACGAGACTGTGTCTGGACTATGAGCTGCAATTTTCTGTCCCCAAAATAGGTCCATATGAGCCTGTTCCAAGGGCCCAAGAGAGTAGTATGTGAAAAAGTAATGCAATTAAACAGTAGTTTTAATATAATTGTACATCTGCTGGGTTCCTTGCAGTGGAAAGCATTGCATAAAAAAACACTGAAAGGGCAGTGTGGAAAGAATGCTGGTGTGCTGTATTTTTCCAGTTACTGTCAAAAATTATGATTTGCATCATAAATTATTTACTGACTCAGGCTCAAATCTTGTGGATCTTGGGAATCCCTTTGAAAGTTGTGCATGTGACAAGGCTCTAGGTATGCAGTGCATAGACTTCTGATAAGTCACAACAGGCTTACATGTAAGTGTGCTGTATTTCACTTATTAATCATCATTTTTTGCCTTCCTAATATGTTTGTGTCTTGCAAATCATGCTGCCTACTTCAACTGCAGTCTCCTGCCTTAGCCAGGGAAAGAACAGTAAACACAGCAGTTTGTCAGACACTGTAGATATTCTTCAAGTTAGCTTCTCTTGACCTTGGAAAAAAACATGTGTCATATTAGAGTTCTTCTGATGTATCATGGCTTTGATAGATCTACTTTGATATTCTGCCTTCAGCAGTGACAAACATGAAGTGCTCTGTAGCAAGGGGTACTTCAGTTGCCTTGTTTGTTCAGTATTCTAAGTTGTTGCCACATGGAGTCCTCCTTTGGACCTTCAGGCAGTTGGTGTATACATTGGAGCAGGAGATTTAATTTAGCTCGTCACAGTTTGAGCTGGCATTCAATACAAACATTATTAATGGTCATAAAAATTACCCAACCTTTTTAAAATTCCAGTCACGCTATTTGACTCAATGACCTCCTGTGAAAGTCACTTGTGCAATCCGACTACGTATTGCAGAAAGAACTACCACGATAGCATCCTTGAATGTGAAATGTGAACTCTGTCTTAAAAGATATGCACTTCACTTCTCTGTAGAAGAACATTTAAAGTACGAGTTAGTATCTAATCAGAAATCATTATTATTATTTGTACTGTACCATTCCCTCAGGATTATGGAAGAGCCATCACACATAGTTATACAAACAGATTATACAAGGCAGTTTCTTCCCAAACAGTTGCATGGGTAAGCAGCAAAACCAGAAACTGAGAAAAGAATCACAGAGTTGTTTGGGTTGGAATGGGCCTTAAAGGTCATCTATTTCCAACCCCCCCCCCCCCCCCCCGCCATGGGCAGGACACTTTCCACTAGACTAGGTTGCTCAAAGTCCATCCAACCTGGCCTTGAACACTGCCAGGGATGGGGCAGCCACAACTTCTCTGGACAGCCTGTGCCAATGCCTCACCACACGAGATGCCCAGTGAAATGAGTAAGTCCAGGAGGTACAGCAGAGTGGTGGATACAGGAAAAGGATTAGCTTATGTTTTGCAGAAACAATCCCATACACATTGGAGTTTGTTGCCTTTTCAGGAAAAACCTGTGTACAGGGCATCTTGATTCAGTCTCAGAATGTGTGTGTACATATATCTGTGTGTATGTGTTTTGCTGTGTGTATACTTTGTTAGCAAGAAGTGTGTATCTGTGTGTGTGAGTATATATACACACAGACACACACATATATATGTGTTCTGTGAATAATTTGCAACCGATGTATGATTCATAAAGCGAGTTGCAGGTTGAACCCACATAGTATCACAAAGTGCATAGGGTTAATAGTGGTTTTGATGATAGCTAATCTGTGTTATACCGCTTAGATAAACTTGAAAATGGATTATCCACCAGTTCTGTTCTTAAACCGTAGTGGAACAGCTTCCTTTGTACCCCTGGCCTGTTTAGGTATTACTAATAACAGCAACAAAAAAATTTTGTATTGCCATAAATACACACAAAATTATGACTTCTGCTTGAATCAGTCAATCGTTCTATCTTTAAATTGAGTTACTTGGATCTCTAGACCACTGTATGCTTTCAAAATACACAGCAGGTGGCACTATTAGTCTTAAATGTTAGAGGCCTCCACTTGCCTTACAGGTTGCTGAGGGGTGTAAGCCGTCAAGCCATTCCCTAGCACTGGCACACGTATTTCCTAACATTAATACAGGTTCTGAAAATTTATTACTATGATAAGGTTTGTGTGAAAACTTGCCTTTAATTGAGCAAACGCCTGTCCAAAGCATCATCTATAAGAGATCTTCGTTTGATTGCCAAGTGAAGTCTGAAGTGCCATATTTCCCTTAAGTCTATTCTTCTGTCACACAATGGAAGTAATTCTTCATTTCCTTGAGGCAAAAAAATTGAGAATACTTCATAAGCAAAAAGCAATGGCTTTTACAACTTGAAGTAAATGTTTATTGCTCTTGACCTTGGTTGCAAAATCTCATTTAAAAAGGTGCAACTAATTTTATCTCACACTAATTAATTGGTGAGTAGGAAATTAGGTTTTATTAAAAAAAATGTTTGGAGGACCTGATAGGAATAATTGTTGATTTAAAGATAATTAAAAATGCTCATAGTGGTTAACTGACTGAATGCACTTCCTGTAACGCTGGATTTTACTGTACACCTGAGACCAAAGGTATATTATTTATGTTATTCATATGCAGAATTATACACATGTCCAACACTGTTCATGCAGGTTACAAAGATAGAATACAAATATCCTAGATTTTAATTGGTACTGAGAAGGAAAATCAGAGTTACTGTGGCGGTCCCCTTTCTCTAGCTTTTTAGAGTGTTTGTTTTTCTTTTTTTAATATAATTTAAATGCAGTCTTGAAGCATTAGCAAGTGACTGTTTTATAGTTAGAAAATATAATAACAAAAAGAAAGGTAGAAACAGGTTGGCTGCTATTATTTGAGTTCCAGACAGTGTTAGTAGAATCAATAGTTACTTTTTAATGTGATTTTTTGATAAGAGCATATATATTTCTTTTGTTTGAAAGTGCAACTTCAAAGCTTGCCCCAGTTAGGGCTTAGTTTAAGTAGTTAAGAACACAGAACTTTCTGATGATGCAGGATTACTTTTTGGCGCCCTCTAAGTGTACATGCTGAGGAAGTTGGGGCTGTTCAGCCTGGAGAAGAGAAGGCTGCTTGGAGACCTCATAGCAGCCTTCCAGTATCTGAAGGGGGCCTATAGGGATGCTGTGAAGGGACTCTTCATTAGGGACTGTAGCGACAGGACAAGGGGTAATGGGTTAAAACTTAAACAGGGGAAGTTTAGATTGGATGTAAGGAGGAAACCCTTTCCTGTTAGGGTGATGAGGCACTGGAATGGGTTGCCCAGGGAGGTTGTGAATGCTCCATCCCTGGCGGTGTTCAAGACCAGGTTGGATGAGGCCTTGGGTGACATGGTTTAGTGTGAGGTGTCCCTGCCCATGGCAGGGGGGGTTGGAACTAGATGATCTTAAGGTCCTTTCCAACCCTAACTATTCTATGATTCTATGCTAATGGGATGAAGAAGCCTATAATGCAAGTTTTCAGTATGATCTTGAGATGTTTCTTCTGATCTGATTTTTCATGTGCTTTCAGACATACAGGGTTCAAATGTATCAGAGGGAGAGTGGCCCAGCTGTCCTTCAAGTCCCTGTGAAGGTTTGGTGAGCTTGGGTGATATGTAGCCTACACTCACATTTCCTTGATAGGATTCTGTTTTCCCCTTTTATCCCTTTGAGATCTTTAAATAAATATAATTAGACTCTGTGTGTGTGTATGTAGGTATATATCACTATATCTATATATCCAAAATAAATCAGGAATGTTATTTTAGCTGGTCTGAGAACGTTGTCTGGTTAGTACAGGTTGTAAAATGGCTTGCCAAATTTCTGTTCCTTGGATCCCCAAGGTTCCCAATAATGAGTGCAATACTACTGATCCAGCCCCTAGTGACTGGGAGGGCTTTTGCAGAACGCAGGTGTGCTTTACTTCTAATACTTATCTGGCTTTGCATGTACTGGGAAGTTGGCGCTATCCAGTTCCCTTTGCAGAATCATGTTTGTGTTTTGTTATTTTTTTTTAACCTTCTGGATGATAAATTTGGTCACACTGAAGTCACTGGATTCATCTCCAATTGAATTGTGCTGGTTGTGGTGTTCTGTATGTGGGTTTTGTGCCTGGCTTAATCAGCATTTAAAAATCTCAGTTATTCTATCTTGACTCTGTTGTAAATAATCCTCAGATTTAATTATTTAAACAATTATTTAATTAATCTGAGGATTAAATAATCTTCCTTTGGAGTGTTAGTTGCTGTGGTAAGTAAACGAAAATGCTGAAATGCTGAAATTTGCTTTGTTAGAGGGCTGCTCACTCTTGTTGGATGCCTGCATTGTTAGGACTGGAATCTCCCCCAGTGCAAACAGTTAGCATCCAAAATTTAAGGTCAGGAATTGTTGTTTGTTTTGTAGTTCTGCTGTGCTTGCCCACTGAGGACTTAGAGATTCTCTTTTAGATGTGACGATGTGCAGAGACAAGTCTAAAAGGAAACTGAAGGTATTTACCAGTTAGAGATTTTAAATAAATGAAACCTGACATCTTCCCTTGCAGTTCCTCAGCCTTCCTTTATCATTTTCTGGTTTCTTAAATTAGTGTGACAAACAAGATAATTAGATTTACTCCATTTTGACCTCATAAAA